TATTTGAGACAATAAAATATTAATCGCCAACAGGGCTCAAAGCTAAATTTACTGTATATACACATTTAAAAATTAGGACCACAGAGATTAACACACAAACATTTTACTGGGGCCAGTTATGCCATCAGGGTCATTTATTGGGGCTTGAGCCTGGAGGAAAGCCCTAAATATTAGTAAGAGTATATGCCAGTGCCAGCAGCTGTGTATGTTGGTGTAACAGGACAGAAGGACCAATTAGTGTCAAAGGCTGAAGCCTGCAAGCTTCTTGGTCAGCATGGAGTCCCTTCTGGACTAGTTATACAGCAGTGCTTGATGAAATACTGTGTATCTTAAACTACATGACAAGTGTCACTAGGGCTAACTGTTCACCCGGTTTGATCCCCATTTCAGCAGGATAAATTTGGGTATGAAAGGTAGCAGTGCTTGCCCCTTCCTCTTTGACCAACGAGGTGCCCTCATTTTGACTTTGTCAAAAATAACGCAGGACTGAATTTTACTATGATGGATTTCACAACTCAAGGCGGTTTCAAGAGTGTGAATTGATTTTAATGCTGCATGCAAAAGAATGATTGCCTGGAAGGGGAGGAAACAGACACAAAACCTTAACACACTAGAGTAGCGTTACTGTAAAGACACATGGTTTTAATCAAATGAGCTGAGACAAAAAGGGTCACAGGACTGATCTCAGTTAAGTGTGCATTCAACAGTTGAAACTTACACATGAGAGAAGATGTCCCCGATGACCCGGCCTGTTCAACAGTCTAGAGTAAGGTGTGTTCAATTCATATTATTGTCCCCTATCTGTGCAACACTTCTCTTATCTTTTAAAGAGGTGGAATTATGCTCATTTTCAGGTTCAAAATCTTAATTAGGGGTTGTACCAGAATAAACCTGTTCTGGTACAACCCCATGGTTTGATTTTCAAAAAACACCATATTTTTCTCATACTGCACATTGCTGCAGCTCCTCTTTTCACCCTATGTGTTGTACGCTCCGCTCTTGAGCTACAGAATGATGCATCTTACTTGTACAAAATCTTTGTTGGGAATTGCACATGCGCAGTTCCAAGGTAAGGCCTACTAGCCAATCAGAAGCAGAGAAGGGCGGGTCGTAAGAAACAAGGTAGTGTGATCAAAATCAAAGCCGCTTCAGACTAGTGATGGCAGACTCGTTCATTCAAATCTCATTCATTAAAATGAACTAATCTTTTTTTGAGTCATTTCGTTCATTTCGTTCATTTGAACTAGGCTGGTTATTGTGGCGCTGCAGCCCTCTAGTGGGCGATTAAAAAACAGCGCCGTTCTCAAAACACGGAAGGCTGCCTGGCTTGCTTTATTTGACAAAGTATAATGCACAAATTCACCTCTTGATTACTGTATCATCATTATATAAATCCCCCTGGGCCCACAACCAAATTCAAACCATGTAAAAACCACAGAAATATGTTGTCAATATGTAATCACCACTACTCCGGCTAAATCCTTCCATTTTCACAATCTTTCCCGAGTAGTATACAACCAGACCAGCCATATAAAGGCTTATGTATATAATTACTATCATTATCTCTGAAGTGCTCATTCATACAGTAGCCTAACGTCCCTATCTATGAGTAAAATATTAATATCAGATTTGCAGTAAATATATTAAAGTATTAAGCTTGATACACTATATGAATAAACACTAATTAAAATTCAACCAATGTAATAATAATCTGGATCAAGCCACCAAGTTCTTAAAGAACTTCAGCACAGAGAGAGGAACAATGGACAAGGAAGGAAATAAACACATATAAACACAGCAGTTTGGCAGTTCTGAACGCAGAATGGGCCACATCATGTCCGGATTCTGCAGACAGAGAAACACACAAGAGCACATCGCTCTCAAACACTGCAGGTTGTTCACCAGTCACGAGCTGTGAAACAACAGCACGGCTCTGTTGGTAAATAAAAAGGAAAAGTTACGTTGCGCACTCTGGCGGACCTGGATCAGCTGTTAGCTGTTTACAGTGCTAACGCTAACGTTGCTACGTGTTTTAATGTCCGTTTGTTTTGGAGAGGAGACGACCTCTGAGGTAATTTGGCTCCTGGTAGAACCCTGCCAGGGCTCTGAAGTGGAGCGGACCTCGAACAACTCTCATCAGCAGTTAGCTGTAATGTTACTAGCAGGACTAAAGTTACGGTGCGGCTGTGTTAAAACTATAACTTAGCACAACATAACTGCGCTGTAATAACGTTATGCTTTATAAAATGTCACATAATTAACAAAATAGCTATATAATATCAGTCCAGTGACTGTTACCTGACAGCCGACCCACCTCTCATTCTCCGGCGCTGGCAGTCACTCAGCCTGCCGAATGAACGAAAGACTGAGCAGAACCCATGTGAGTGGTGAACAAGTCGTTCATTCCTGCTCCACAGTAGCTGTCACGTGACAAATGAACAACTCAAACCTAGACACCCACAGTTGAGAGTCGTGAACTAATCAATTCTGTTTCCTGTGCTGACAGAGCCCATGCAGCTGACGTGTGAACGTAAGAGTCCAAGATCCTTCACGCATGCGTGAAAATGAACAACCCGTTCCTCCTGAGTCATACACATGATTAGGTCTTATGAGTGAAACGTTCTTTGAACGACACAACACTACTTCAGACTGAGACCGTAACCTAGCAGATGATATAAGTTACTCAGAAGTCCACAACCACACAACATCATTGTTCCACATCTTACCATCAGGACTAAATGTTGAACTGTTACCAGTGTTCTGACGATCTATGCTGTCTTGCCGAAAAATTCTACCATAGCGCAGATCGATAGACTCAACTCTACTCGGCCCTGCTCCGTTTTCCATTGCAGTACCCACAGATAGTAGCTTGTCGTCATAGCGACGCCACACACAACTGCTGCGACGTACTGTTCAATGCGACACACATACCTTTCTCTTTCTTAAGTTAAAATGTTTCAACATTCCTCAGAAAGACATAAGCGGTATGAAAACCTTCCAGCTGTGTTTTCCTCTGCCGTTGTTGCTGCAGCGGTCTGTGTGACGGCGGGAGCAGAGGGCTCTGTGAGCCGGCGGCTGGCCGGCCTCACACGCTCTTTCCGTGGGCTTCCCCCACAGCCACTTGCGGAGCTCTTGAACTCCGAAAATATTCAAGTGCATTTTTGTTCCGCCATCACTTCATGTAAAAAATAAATACGTGTGTGTGTACGAAATCTACACCGCTGATTTCTCACCTCAAAACTTCTCAGAGGTGGATTTAGTGATGAAATTCATACGAAAGTCCATACGAAAACTGTAATATAAAACTTTCTGTTGCTGGCCTCTGGTGCAATGATGATGCAGTGAATAGTGAATATTCTCTCTGACCAATCAGCAGTCTGTCGTGTTTTCATGTTACATTTTAGTATCACTCGCTCGCTTGGAACCTCGACGGAGGTGAGGTGATACGAAAAAAAGTACCTGGAAGCAGGTACAGGTACAACATTTCTACAATGGAAAACCAAACCAAAGGGCCTCTGCTGAGACTAGCTTGGTTTGAGGGCGTGCCTGACCCCGCTAGCTGCTTGGCAAGCTTTAAGACGCGTTTTCATTGTGACGTCACAAGTAAAGGAAGTGAAGGGCTGGATTACAAACGAGCTGTTTTCAAGCGGTTCAGAGCAGAGCTTTCTGTGGGAGATGGGAACTCCCTTTGGGCTGGACTTTTGGCTTTTTCACTTTGCAAACCTGTTACATGCACAAAAAATATATAACTAATAGGAGAGGGAAAAAGCCAAAAAGCATAATACCACCTCTTTAACACTGTCCAGATGGGCAATCAGGCAGCACTCTTCTTCTTTCCAGTTATTCTGCCAAAATTATAAAGTTCCACTTGCTCTTCACACAAAACAGGCAGAGACTCATTAAACATTAGACCATAAAACTGCTCTTTAACTGTGCTACTACTGTCTCATTATACAGCAAGTTTAGAGCCTTCACAGCCAGGCAGAGCTGCAGACTCACGGGAACAAGTGATGGGTTCGAGCCAGTGTAGTG